ATGCTGCCAAGAGACCAACAATAAAGTAGTCTGAGATATGATGGTTCTTTTTCCTAGACTATGATCACATCGAAATCTAGAAAAATTACTATCACTGGTTACTATGCTTATAATCTATGGAAAGTTCGACTAAAATCTATTTTGTTGGTAATTGTCATTTCAAATACACGACAATGAATTGTACAATGATTATAATTAACTGAAAATTTATTTTAACCAAGTACGATGTTAATTTTGTGAAGTTATGTATAAACTGATTATATTAAATGCATCGGGTTTCTGAACGTATCCTTTCATATGTTGATATTCACTTACACACATCTACCTATATTGTCAATTTTTTAGAATTAAAAACATATATTTTGATAAATATCCGGCTCAGGATACCAAGAGCATCTTGTATAGTTAATATTTCAACTAATTATCAAATACATCAATATAAACCAAACTATCTTTGAGAAAGATCTCTTGGGAACGAAACGGTAGCACCATGGGAACTTCTATGGGTAAAAATAATGCTTGAAAATTAAGTTCAACTCCTATGAATATGTTTTTTTTTGTCAAAATTCAGTTCTTATGTCATGATTACCGTACATAGTCAATTCAACGCTATGCATCAGGACTAAACAATTTGCTGAAAAAACAAGAGTTAAGACAATTAGATTGAACTTGTTGTTCTTATCAAGAAATAGTTCAGTCTCCTTTTCGCTTGATTCCATACTTTCTCCTTTGAATATAACACAAATTTCACATTGTGTAATAATGTTGTATGATACTACTGACAATTTTCTCTCAATGGAAAAACTATTTGTCTCCATATGAAGACACCTGCCATCTACCTTTTCGTTGGTCTCATCCAACAATAGCCTCCAATACAAGAATAGCTAACCCAAACCGAATAGATATTTAAATGAATCTTTTATTCTGGCCCTATCATCGACTATTGCTGAGCAATAAAATCATCTACGGACAAATGAAACAAAAAAACAACAAGTGCATTTGTAAGTCTACATAATCAACTCAGTATTATCGGCACGAGGCCAATGAACAATGCATCAATCCATGAAATCAAATTTAAGACTTTTTGAAGCATCACGAATACGAAATATGGAAACGAATTTATTTTTTCACTAAATATCACATAAACTTTCGATTTTCAAAGTATCAACATGAACTTTATTCATCACATTTACAATGTTTAAATAATTACTGATGTTCTTGTTTCGCTTCAATCCAATTTTCTTATTTTATTCTAGACTCTTTCTCTGAGTATCTTTAGTATTGTTCTTTAGTATGACTTACATTCATTTTCGAAGAAAATAATAAGTATAAATACTAAGTCAAAGTTGTACGACTCCTTAGTCATTTCTCTAATACAGATTTTAGTAACCAGAATTACACATTATTGAATATATTCTCATAACAATCACAGTCATAAGGCAATCATTTAACATTCTATCGCTCATCGTGGTGAACGCAAAACTAAGAAATTAAAGAATGAACAACATTCTTCAAATTTTTAAAATAGAAAAAAAGACATCAACAAAGAAAGTACTAAAGAATTATGATAATAAAATATGTACTAGTAGTAGTGAAAAACATGTTAACTGTACAAAGATGGAGTTATCAATTTGTAATTTTGCAATTAGAAATATATTTGAATCATTATTGTGTAAAATTTTTCTCAAACTCACTCTTATTTATTTTAATAAAAGTATCGATATTAGAGTTTTGTATGAATTGTATTGAATAATCATTCTGTAAATTTGATAAATAGAAAGGAACAACAATTATTATTGTTACTCAGGTTTTCATTTCTAAATAACTGAGAATACTTAGTAATATTCCGTACTAATTACAAACGATGATTGCGGTCAAAACGTTTGATTAATAAGACTTAATATAGTATAATACGTATATCACTTATTGAATATTGATGTGTTTTGTATTCATACAATTTTTATTTAATTGTTTGAAAAAAAGAACATTGCTATTTGTGTTGATATGAAAAACTGAATAAAGAAGCTCGTGATATGGCAATTATGTTAAAAAAGATAAGAATCGAATTGATATCCAACTTTTTATTATTGCCTATCATATTAATTATGATTATAAAGATAAGTTAGATTTCGAAAATAAATTTGACAAAAAAAATTAAAATATGTCTAAAATGATAAAATATCAAGTATCATAAATGAATTTGTAGTAGGATAGTTAGTTATAATTTAGAATATCTTAAAAGTAGTAAAATGGTAAAACGTATATATTTTAAAGATAAAAACTATTGATATTATGCTATTGTTTGAATATGTGTTTAAATAAATTATTCATTATGGTTATTATGCAATTATCATTTGACATAGTAAAAAAAAGAGTTCAACTGTTTTTTTTTCGTGTTTTGAGGAGCTTTAGTGTTTCTATTCTTTTTTTTTCATATCATGCTTAATAATTTTGTTTCTATCTGTGATGATATCATAAAAACTATAGTATTACTATAGATTAGAAAAAGAATATGATTCCTTTATTATAAACTAACAACAATGCTATGTAGTTTTATATATTAAGCTCCCCTACACCTTCAAAAAATGGAGTTTTTATTACAGGAAAATGCAGCGAAGCGTCCTCTTTCAGAATATCTACAGATTTTTTTTGAAAATGATCAAACTTTCAAAAACTTATTACATGAAACTTAAAACCTACTACCATGTTTTCGAAGAAATTTTCGTCGTTTTTAAAGGTTTTCACTTTTACAAAAATTTGCGTTTTCACTAGCATTATCATATTTTTGTATTAGTGGACATGTCAGATGGCGTTAGCTTATTGCATCGGCTACGCCCTTGTAAAAAGTTCTATGAAATATATTGAAAACATACCAAATGAATATATTTTTTTTCGAATTTACCTAAAAAGATCATTTTCAAAACTTCTTTAACGTTCTTCTCGGAACATAGTTTTCAATCAGGAAAATTGAAATAACTCCCGTTTGGCTCGAGCTATATTTAATAATTTTATTTTATTTTAAAGGTCTCAGTGGGAGTAAACTTTGTCAGACCAGTTTTTTTAAAGTCGATTCTTGCGATTAGAAAAGTAGAATATACTGCTGTTGGATCACCATTTTTTATGCTGATTTTTAGACCCATTCCACTGAAATGGTCATAGAAAATCAGTAAGATTGAATTTAAAAATTCTGTTTGGACAAAAGTCGCGTGCTGACATTAGCTTTAATTTGAGACCAGCCAGAGCTCGATACTACATGTTATAACGAAATTATATCGATTCCTCTGAAGGCCAAACATGACCTATGATTCAGCTGAAACTCCGGTCTAGTATGGCTAATCGGGTTGAAATTTTTGCCAGGGGTGTATCTATTCAGGATGACTCATCTCTGAAACTTTTAGCTCAAAAGATCGATTCTAAGTGGGAAATCATTTCTGAGGAGGAAGCCCTTAAAACAGATCATAAGAATTCGATTAGATTCAAAACGATTTAAAATAAAGTTTTTGATATGGCCTGAGTAATGTTGATCAATATCAAATGAACAGATTATTCATTATGTAAATGTTTGATTGTTTCTAATAAGTTGTTTTATGTTTTAAATTAAATTTTGTTGCATCAAAAACAAAAAGAACTTGTCCTAAATCATCTGATAGATGAAATAGAAATTTGTGTGACTTTCATACTTCAGTCAATAAGAGGCAGTTCTAACAAACTTGCTTTTGTTTTGTTCATTTTATTTTTTGTCTCGCTCATCTAATTCACGTTTGACTGTAATTACATCATATTTTCTTTTTCATGGGAGAAATAATTTCAGTTAACGATATCTCTCGTTCTGACATGTCTGGCTGGCCTTGGTTTTGTTTCTGTTCTTCGTATTTTTCATTATCAGCCTCGTGTTAATTTCATTTTTTCGTCGTCTTTCTGATTTCAATATGTTTCGCTTCTCTCTAAGTACATATTTATCAATCGAATGGTGATATTTTGACTATGATTCACTTTTCATTAGATGTTTTATTTTATCACACCAATTAATGTCTACAAGAACATCATTGCAGAAAAATGAAAAGTAAACAGGACAAATGATGCGGTAGATGTAATTTAAAAAAAGGAGACATATGCAAGAGACAAACAGAAAAAAGCGTGTTTTTTACACAAAATAAACAAAAAAAAAGAACCTCTAGAATATCATTCATATATTATATTAAGATACATAGAAAAAGTGTCGTTAAACAAAAAAGTTTAGAAATTCTCTTATATTAATTTAGTTCTATATTCATATTTTGAATAAGTTTTAATGAATTGGTTACAAAGAATTAGAAGTGATTCATGTCTATCAGTCAATTTATTGTCACTTTAAATAATCTAAAGAAATGTTCTAAAATGAACGTTCGTTATATATTATTTCTGTGCCTTTTCTTTTCCTGATTCATAAGGACATCTGAATAGATTGGTACGATTAACTACAACATTCTAGATGGTATATTTTGTTTGTTTATTTTCATAGACAAATAAACATTACGGAGAAGAGCTAAAATGTATGCACAAGTTCAAGAACACTGGAATCAATCATCAACACTATGCTTGTTTATTTCGATCAGATTTTGAGGCTTTAGAGCAAATAAAATGTAGTGACATTTCAGATATTTTACTTGGGGACTTTTAAAATACATTTTCATGACATATAGTGAACAAATTTACGTAGAATGATCACCCAACATTTTCTTCTATCAAATAAAAAAACAAGAAGATACTGTCAATTAAGGTGTAGTAAAATGTTTAGACCTGACAAAAATATTGTGTATAATATTTTCGTCATGTATAGACACCTACGACTCGGATCGCATGATTCTGATTCATTTTCTTTTTAATAGGACATTAAATTATATTTCAATACTCGCACGAAAACATTAATTTTCTTTTTGTGACCTTGATAGTACAATCAACCAAGTATATATAAGAAGAGAAATTATTTGCTGCATTACATTTAGAATTTTGTCTTAAACATGATTCTCTTTATTGTAATAATTCTGCTTCAATTTGGGCTTCGATTCGTTGACAGCTCAGCAAGCAATAGCTTAACTGACTGCCAGGCAGTGGCTGCCAAATTTAATAATACCTGTAATGGAGTAGCTGTTAGCAGTATTATCGCTACCACAGGTACCAATGTATCATGTAGCTCAGGTTTCACTAGTACAACGTGTCCTGGTACAATGGACAGTAGTACATGTAAGTTTCAACATAAACTGTGTGTCACTTGCTCAAGTACTACAACTATTCGTATTCGTGTTCAATCAAATGGATTGCCACGTTTTTGTCCTAATACACCTGCGCCTATAAAAGAACAGAACATTGATTTTGAGGTGAATTTTAATCCTAATGTAAATGTCAATTCTTTTGTACACAATCCAAGCACTTCATCACAATTAAACTCAATCGTTTGCAACATCAGTAATCAAGCATCTGTACCATCCGCATCCAATTATGTATCTTTTAGTAATTCTGGTTCTTTTAATACACTTGCTGGTGTTAGTGTTGATGGTGTGTCAATTTTAAATGTAAATAGTGCTAATAATGTTGATCCATTTTATCCAACTGGAGGCTATACATCAGAGTCAGTCGATGCATGTTTAGGACATCCGAATGCAGCAAGTAATGGTTATCATTATCATATGGCATCGGGTTGTGCATTGAGTCCTCCTACTGAAACGATCAAATCCTGTAAGTCCACTTCTGGTTGTAGTACAAGTATTGCCAACTACGCGATATCAAAATTTTCGTCATATCGTACTTTAACTGTAATTGGAATAGCCAAAGATGGACATGTTATCTATGGACCTTACGATTCAACAGGCGCTGAAGTAAGAATATCATTGATTGAGAGATGTGATTTCATAAAGTAAAAGTGTTTCATTAATCTCCATAGAAATAATACATAATCGATTCAATTTTATATTGAGTTTTCTTGTGAACAGAACATTGCACAAAAAAAATCAACTCGTAGAAGTCTCTTTTAAATGCTTTGTAAAACTTCTTGTACTAGTAAGGTAGTCAATAAGATGTCTTGCAACGAAATGGTAACGTCATTATTGCGAAATTATGAATACTTAAAGTCAAGTTGATATTAGATTCAATTTTGTACAAAGTTTGAATCGATTGATATCTTGAGAACAATTAGGTAGATGTAGCTAAAGATTTGTGGAAGTGAGTATGGTGATAGTTATAGGTTCAAAATAGTGTTACTTGTATAAGTAGTTGGGTATTATCGTTCGTCGAAGAGAAATTGATACAGAAAGGTAAAATCCTGATAAAGTTTAAACTAAATTTATTCTACCCTATATGTGACATAGATTTCTTGCTGTTGTTTAACTAAACTATATGTATCTCAGCTGTGAAATGAAAAATGATGTGCTTCATTAGAAACTTGTAGCAGTTTTATGCTAAAAGATTTTAATACAATAATTAATATACTCTGTATTTTATAGATAACAAAAGGTTTCGATATATGCAACGGTATGTTTTATGATTCTATTGGAAATTATGCCTATTTTGCTACACGAACATTTCCATATATAACGGGTTGTTTTGGTCCCGGTAATTATCCAAGTTTTCTTCCAAGTTGTACAACAAATAAACCGACGGCATATACAAAATCAGCTTATGCCGGCTAATAAATTCAATAAACAAATACCGCCATACCATCTTACAATCAAATAGTCAATGACTGTCTTTAGATCATATTATGCTTTTTCTGTGGATTATAGTTGGCATGTTTTCCAAAAACTAACCTTTACTATAATGATGAGTTGAACAGAGTGAACTCTATATCTCTATTATGTTATATATCATTCATCATATTTCATTTCTTTCATACTTTTTTTGTCAAAATCATTCGCTTTTCTTATTTTTATCGATTATTAACATACAGCATTTTTAAAAATAGACTATTATAACATTATTAATTTCATCTCATAGATACATTTCACGTTTCTTCCAAATAATGATTTCAATAGCACGAAAAATTTATTTCAATAATAAAATTTAAAAACAAAGTTTCAGAAAAAAAGTTGCTCTTTTATTTGTTAATGAAATGGAACATCAACTAGCTGCTGACATTAAATTATTTAACAATCTAAAAATGGTTACCTTCTTCTTTCCGACTGATTGTTAAATTCATGTTTTTTTTTCAAAAAAAACAAAAAAACAGAGCAACTCCTTAAAATTTCAAGCATCATTTGATTTGAGTATCAAGATAACTACGTTATAGTCAGTGAACTATGAACAAAAGTAAAAAAGAAGATTTCGAAGTTTTTGGGAGTAGATCTTCTCCCAATAAAAGATGTTACACTAATATGAAATGCATCATGTCTTTTAGAGAATTGTGTAAAACTTGATAGACTTTTATTAAGAAGCGAAGCTTCTACTACTCATGATTGGAATTTATTAAAATATGATCATTGTAAACAGATGGGTTTACTAAAGTAGATAAATAGTTTTGATTGAATGCCGATTCACTTGTTCATACATTGAAAAGACAACAATATGTAACATGAGTAAAACTATGAAAAATATCCGTTTTTGATTTATATTTTCGTCAGAATTTACAACAGAATCATGTGTATATCATATGTATCACAGACTTTACTTTAAAGTGGTATTATATGAGAACCTATATTTTCATCAACAAATAGCTATTGAACACATAGTTAATCTTCAAAATCATGATCACTTGTTTCGCAACATATAATGATGTATGATTAAAACATTATTATCGATTCTGTTGAAATAATTGCTAGTTGTTGACGCATTTTTTGTGTTTATATATTAAAGCTATCATAATTTGTTTTGACCTTCGTTAAGAGTCCCGTTAGGTGACAAAGATAGTTTTGAAGTGTTTCGAATTCGTATTGGACCAGGAAAATATTGGAAATCAATATTCATTAAAGGTAAATTCAATCCTTTTGAGCAATTGTGGGTGTGGGTATCATTTGCATCGTTACTCATACCCACACCCTCCTACTACAATGAGACATTTATATCAACTCAAAGGAAGTATCCTGACGATTTTGCTTGACTGAACACATCACTCTATCATGATAATACTATCTTCCAAAATAGTTTTCATGTCTATCATAAGGCATTCCCTTCGTAATTAAATCATTAGTCACAACAGTTATCTTAAAAAGTGCAGTTTTCAGGTGTCAAAGATTGAATATTTATTTGCATGTAAGAAAGCAAATCAGTTGCATGCAACGCCTTTAATCTTGTTCAAAAAAAATTGAATTAATGAGATCGTGTTTAACGCAGTGGAAATAGTTCAATAAAAAAGGAGAAAATACGACTTTTAGCTTGATTTTGCACTTGCTAACATGCTCGGAAGTTTAAACACGTAAAATCTGGTGAAAACTGCGGATACAACTGATAAAAACGCATAAATTTCAGAAAATATACTTGAGGGTGTGGGTGGATGTGGATGTGTATGTGTTTTCTTTCATTTCAAACGTACACCCACACCTACATCCCCGTCTTCCTAGCGTATCAGCACTAAGTTGGATAGCTCATGAGAAAAAGCTAATAGGAGACAGCAGTTAATAAAATTCTCTGTACTGAAAAGTGTGTCTTGCAGTCACTTTAATGCTTCTCTGCAGCGTGTTGTGAGGAAGCTTAGATTTTCTATATGAAAATATTCGCTTCCACGATCAGAGGACCTAATTAACACGATGCGCATCTAAACGTGTCATAGATGAAGAGATCTTTCTGAAATGAGAACATACTCGGTAAAAATCCGCTGTCAGTCACTTAATACCTCACCTCGCTTGCGCATTTTCTTCTAGAAATTCTGGCACGTTGTTATCATGAAAGATTTCATACATAGTTGGAAAACATATATTTCTGAGCACACGCAATGATACGTATTTCATAAAATACTTCTTTAATGCTTGAGGATGTAACACTTTTCGCATAAAGAGTTGCCAAGGTGCTTTTTAAAACAGACACAAAAGATTCTAAAATCACTCTGAACGCGTATTCAATTGCTCTTCTCTCAATTGTTTCTTCGTAGACAACAGAATTCATCCAAATTAGCTAGAAACTAATGACTAAACGGATGGTACATTCTATTTTCAACCGATTCTATTTACACGAGCCAATATTATTCAACATAAGCAACCAACTTAAATAGCTTTGACAGAAAAAGAGTTAATTTTACTTATCCGGCGCTCGTACAATGAGAAACATGCGAATAATGTTTTGATGCAAAAAAAAATAGAAAACAAACATTTGTTCGAAGAATGGTCTTGAAAAAATATAAACAACATATCCTAAAATTTTGATGGGGTTTATAACAACACTCTTTTTTCTAAAGCATGCGATCTACCACTGATGTTATTTATGTTCCATACAATTACAGTCTCGGACAAGTCTTTCTCCTCCTTATTTCTAC